GTTCTAACACAGGAAAATCTCAAGGTTTTCATTGGGAGGAGGGATGATTTATATATGCAGGACATTGATTTTATACACATTCTTAAAATTAATATTAAATAAAATTTGTCATGACAAAGGAATGCCAACCTTGTAGAACATGCAGATTATTGCTTAGAACTTGCATATACTTTAAACTGACACACAAATAAAGAATACAAACATTTTAAAATTTTAAGGGAATTACCTAGAGATATTAATTAATCCCATTCAAATTAAGCACAACCAGAGAGCAAAGAATACTAAATTGCTATTTTAATTGCTGATAAATCTGAGTAACACTGATTTATAAATTACCAAGTCTCACATTTTGTAAATAAGACAAAGTTCTTCATTCAGCCTTATGGAAATAAATTAGGAGATGTGTTCTCAAAATGTTAAATGTATTTTGAAAGACTTCCAAAATCTTTATAACAATTAAATAGTAAGGTTGTATATTCCCAAAAAGAAATGTGTGTATCACTAGAGCTATCACATTTGCTGCAATTTTCAAGTAGTTTTTTCAAATGAAATCTATGTCTAAAAGTTATTATTACAAATTCTAATAATTACCAAAAAACCTCATAACTCATCCTAGGTACAAGTTACTAAGAGAGTATTACCTATGCAAAAATTCCTTAAGTAAAAAGTAGACATAATTATACTAGAAGCAAACCAAGCAAGAAACAGAAAAATATGAAGCATATTTTATTTACAGTTATATTTTTAGGCTTCATTAACCAAGAAGTAGCAAATACCTAAGCACACTTCATTACAGAAAGAATTATGTAAAGATATAAAGAAAAAAATATACAGATGATGATTAACGAGTTTTCAGCCAGAGGTATTGTATTTATATCTTTAAGATTTAGAAATATTTCTCATTGTTTTTGGTCTTAAATATAGGGCCTGATACCGAAACTGTCTACAGTTTGCTGTAGACATTTTCAATGCAAACAAACGGTTTATGGTGTAACCAACAAGGGAATCAGTGTAAACATTTTCAATGCAAACAAACCAATCTTTAGCAGCTAGCCTTCAGTTCATTGCTATCCAAAATATCTTCAAATAAAGGTGCAACTTACTACCAAGGCTGGTAGAGGAAGTTTGAGGTCCGGGCTAGAAAGGGATAGGGCTCAAGTCCTTGGGTGTTGCATTCGTAAAACGTGCTGAGTAATCCACTTGCTGGTAAGCTTGTTTTTAAAAGAAACATGACTATAACTAAACTGGCTCAATTAAAGAGCAGGACTCAGGAATGCTGCCACAGACCAGCAGCCCCCTCCTCCTAACAGCCTCATAACAGAGCTACCTCAGTTCCTCCTGCTGCCATGGGGTCTAAGGAAGAACATTTAGATAATTTACAGGCCTACAATGAATCCCTAGCTGAAACACAGATAAAGCTCTTACTGCTAAGCCAGTTTAAGAGACTACGGATGTTTCTCAATAAAACCATAACCTTATTGGCCTTGTTTCATCTTGTAACAAGTATTATTAAATACTAAATGGCTTCCGATAGCCTCTTAGCAATTATCGTTTGCTGACCTCTACTTAAACTTACTGCAATGCTTTTTTTTTTCAATGGAAGTATATACTTGAAAACTTTGAAGTTTGCTGCAATAGACCAGAAAGCTTATGGGTATGGAGAAGCCTCTAAAGTTGATGTTGAAAGGTGCCAGCATAAGGGATGGAGGTGCTGGTAAAGTCTTAAAGGCATTAGGAGGATGAGTTGGAAGGGCTGTTAGGATTCAGAGAAAAAGTTCTAGATGAGGGAGGGGCATTATGCCTTTTAAGGGAAAATCATCGCGGTGTCTCCAACTCCAGGTCTTGCTGGCTTCTCATTGTTCTCACACATACCCCACGTGCTTCATGTGAAAAATCCCTTGCAGTAGCTTTAGTGTGCCTGTTGTCAACCAAGCTGTGGTTAAGGCTGGGAGGTTTGTGTGTGTGCCCAGGGTCTCTAGACACAGGAGGGGTCTCACTGCTGTGCTGGTTCGTACCTGTGGAGAAACACTGTGCCACATTTCTGATAAAATTATACAAGTTTGCTTCTTCTGGAACCCAAGACACACAAATACATAGTCTTCCATGAAGCGTAACTGATGATGTCAACAATTACATGGACTTTTCAATTTCAAGCAATAGACTAAACCACTGAAAGCCAATTCGTATGCATACTTCCATACTGGAGTTAAGAGTAACCTAGAAACTGAAATTTATTCAAACATTTATTTTAATAGTGCCTTTTGGAACATGTTTATTTCCCTTAAAAATGAAACAGAACAAACATGAACATTACAACACTTTCCCCTAGATATCTCCGCGACAAGACTGTTTCTAACGCATGATGACAAATGGTGTAACCAACCATAAAGCTGGTCCTTTACAACCGTGAAGAACCACTCTCCAAACACCCAACGCACCTCACAGAGTGTACAATTTAAAAACTGACACTTTAGCAAAAAGTTGAGTTAAATAGATTAAAATTTAGAAAAGAATTTGATTCAAACACCTATAAATGAGGCAGTTTTTAAAACTAGACCTTTACAGGAGTACTGCAGCATCCATGGTATGTCATTCACCCTTAGGAATGGTAGACATTATTACTTCTCTAAACATAGCACTAGCCCATGAAACAACAAAACTAAACAGTTGGAATAAAGATTGCATCTTAACTTACTATAAGGTATCAACTTATGAAGGAGTTAGTTTCTTTGCACTCATATATAACTCCATTTTGAGTTTTAAATAAATGCTAACAGTACCCACTGGAAAGATTTCAGACACAAGAATGCAAATTGTACAAATTCAAGCTCATAATTTTCAAATTCTCCCAAATAAAATACCAGATGCAGAATCTATGATCTTGCATGCTATTTAGTTGATTTTCTTCACTTTCAAAATTTTGTAAGAATTTTTATTTTTTAGACTACTACACATTCAAAGAACATCTTTATAGTTACAGGTTGTCACTAATCTTTTTCTATAAAAATAGAGTTGCTTAAAAATTTATACCAATTTGCTTTAATTTTCTACAAATATTTTAATAGTTGTTAAATTCAGAATGTCTAACAGAATCATTTAAATTAATCCAGGTAGTCAAAATACTTAATATGTAAAATGTCTAGCAAAAGTTTGTCATTTAATAAATGATAAATTCATCATTGAATAAATGATATGTTATGTCTTTAACTCCTTGTATCTTAGGTAGGTGGATATAATCACAGAACAGTGAAATATAGCTCCTATAAAGATCTGACTTAAAGTAGTATGGCAGTTTGTAGTGTCTTTTCCATTTCATGCATGTTGTATGAGGACATATGTAGCTTCTACTTTTGGATATTGAATGTGGATGTTGAATTAGCTGTCATGCAGTCAGCATAAAATAAGAATTGCTGACTAAGGGATTAATGAACTTTAGTTCAAAGCATTGATATTTTAAACACTTGTTTTGTGAACAGCTATACTAATGAAAATGCTGTCAATGAAAGTAAAAAGAAAGTTTTAAGCATGAAATAGCAACTACAAAAACTGAAACTGCTATATGGAAACTCACTGATTAGTGAGTTTTATATTACAATACATTGCAATATATTGCTTTATATTGTCTTCACTTTGATGGTGGGTTTAAAATCTGTGTTCAGAAATGATAGAAATATCCCAAGAGTCAAAAATATTTATTTCAAGTTTTGTTTTTCTTTAAAGTAATTTCCAAAATAGTTTTCTAATATAAATGTTTTCCTTTTAAAAATCCAGTTTTCTTGCAAAAGAGCAAGAAAAAAACAAGATAAAACCATGTGCTTTCCTACCCCCTCTCAACAACCAATATGCACTTAAGTGCCTATGATGTCAAAGGCATTAAATTTGGTAACAAATTATCAATGTAATATTAGCTTTAAAAACAAATACCTATACTTTACATTACTTTAATTAAGTCTTTCAAAAATAAGTGTACCTACTATAAACCAATCAATTTGATTTTCTCACTGAGTTATTGACTGAGATTTCAATTACCTTCTGTAAATGTTCTAAAACTTATCAGGCTCTCTCTGCATTAGACAGCCAGATCAAATCAAACCAAATCAAAGTCTGACCTAGCCAGCCAGCCTCCCTTCACCATCATAACATGCACAAAGAAAGTGAATCATTCTCCTGCCAACTGAGAAACTGAGTGGATTAGATCTTTTGGTTTGGGTTCAGTTAAACTCAAGCAGCCGTCACTGGTTAAATTTCTTTCTTTCTTAGGTAAGAACAATCATTAAAATCAAGAACTTGAGAAAAATAAATAAAGGCAGTAATAGCTAATTATATAATTCTATATTGGGGTTGTAAGAACCAAAGAAAAAGCACACATATACTTAACACATACACAAAAAAACCCAAAACCAAAAAACCGGAGTCACCAGCCATAAATTTATCATCATGTGAGACAAGGATATTAATAATCGCAATACTTGGATTAAATTATCTATTTTTATTTCCTGTCCTTCAGGAAAGACAGAAATTCAAAGCACTCAAAATGTTGGTTAAGCAAGCATAGGTGTAAACTGTGAGTAAAATGTGAATACTGATTTTTTGGAGTTTTGGTCTCATTAAGAAGAGGCCTACGTCATTATTAGGAGCATGACAAATATATACTGCATAACACTTTGGTACTGATGATGTTGGGTTCTGAACTTAGGGGAGGTTCTACAAATAGAAATAATATATTTTTCATGGAAAAAGTGCAAGGGAAACAGAGACAGCAGTGTTAAAGCTTTTTTCTTAATGATCCCTCCTATTAGCCTAAAAATGACCTATCAGGCATCTATAACATGCTTTTAGAAAGAGGAATTAAACTCTTAAGGAGCTCTGTAAGACCTGTCTTAAGCCTTACTACAAATAAAAAAGCAGTACTTTGATAAAATGTTAAAAATAGAAATAATAAAGTGATGTCTGAAAAATCTAAAAATTAAAGAAGTATTTTCCATGACTGAACTAATTAAATATTCCCAAAGTAAGCAAAATACTTCATCATTCATAAATGATAGCATATCTAAACAAAAAAATACATCATTTCTGATAGCCTAAGAAAAGAACATTTCAATGGTCTAGAAATTAAACCCTAAACGGGTATTGACAGCCACAGTAAGAAATGAGTGCAGTACAACAAAGTGTTGAGAGCTATTTACAAATTTAAAAGCAGTTCCCATTCTTTCAGCAAAATTGGTGACATAAAACCAAGTGCACCCAATTAGCATAGTCATCTTTTCACAGAGAAAAATACCAATGCAGGTTAACAGATTTCTGAAAAGATTCACCACTATATTTATAATTTTTTATTTAAACCTTTAAGATTTTATCCATGCTTACAATGCAGAAGAAAATCAGAAAAGAAATCTTGGAACAAAAACTAAGTTTTAGTTTCTCTTTTCTAAAGGTTAAAAAAAAAAAGCACTGAAACCCTCGATAACAAATATAATTAATAAGAAGTACAAGAACATGCCAAGCATTCATCCTATCAGTAGATATAACGTGGACAGTATGGAAGTATGCTTATCAGTAGCCCACCTTTAGTCAAGTTTTCCATTCTGAAGACTACTTTTGGCTTTCTCTTGTCTGAGGAGAGAGATGACTTTGATGCAACCCTTTGTAATTTTGATCATCCACATGATATTCATCCCATCCAAAACAGCACAAGTAAAGATCCAGGAAAATTGGATTAAAAATCCAAGCCTGATGTAGGCTTCGGTTCCGGACACGGAATAAAGGTACCCATAAAAAGGAGGTATCGAGACAATCCGTACGATGAAGAACACCACTGTCATGAGTACTCCATTGATGACGTTAGCCTTGGAAAACTTAGGATACTTCAGAGCTTCAAAAAACCACCTGGAAAAAATTTTTAAAAGCATCACATTTACTCTGCATCTCCAAAGATTAACCATTTTAAATGTTTTTAGTTTTTAAAATTCAGTGAACATCCTCCTAAGATTTATATAGAGAGGCAAAGGGCCTGGCACAGCCAACACAATACTGAAAAGGAAGAAAGTTGGCAGACTCATACTACCCACTTTCAAGACTGACTTACTATATAAAGCTACAGTACTCAAGACTGCACAGCATTGGTGAAAGAACAAATGATCAACAGTGTTAGCCCAGAAATAGATCCATACAAATATACTCAACTGATTTTTGACTACAGTGTAAAGGTAATTCAATGGAAAAGGAATAGCTTTCCTAACAAACAGCTGGAACAATTGGATATTCATATGCAGAAAAATGAACCTAGGCAGAGCACATTTTACACAAAAATTAACTCAAAATAAGCCACAGCCTTAAACATAAAATGAAAAACTCTGAAACTTCTAGAAGAAAACATAGGAAAAAATCTGCATGATCTTGGGTTTGGTGATCGTACTTTAGATATAACACCAAAAGTACAACTATAGAAAAAAATAGTTACTAAAAATATTGTTACTAAAATTAAAAACTTGCTCTATGAAAGGCACTGGTAAAACAATAAAAAAAAAAAAAAAACAGAATAAAAAGACATCCATGCACTGGAAGAAAATATTTACAAAATACATACAGGATAAAGTACTTGTATCCAAAATATAAAAAGAAGTCTTAAAACTCAGTAATAAGGCAACAACCCAATTAAAACAGGGGCAAAATACCTTAAACACCTCATCAAAGAAGATATACAAAGGAAAATAAGAATATGATAAGATGTTCAACATCATTTGTCATTAGAAAACTGTAAATTAAAACAATGAGATACTACTACATATCTATAAAAATGATTAAAATCCAAAATTCTGGCAATATCAATTGCTGGCAAGGATATGGAGCAACAGAAACTCTAAAGCCTTGCTGGTGAGAATAAAATGGTAAAGCCACTCTGGAAAACAGTATGGCAGTTATAACACTAAACATATTCATAGCACACAATCCAGCAATCACTCTCCTAGGTATTTTTCCAACTGATTTTAAAATTTGTGTCCACACAAAGAAATCGCATGCAAATGTTTACACCAGGTTTATTTATAATCGCAAAAAACTGGAAGCAAGCAAGCAACCAAGATGTTATTCAATAGGTGAATGGAGGGGGCGCCTGGGTGGCTCAGTTGGTTAACCGTCTGCCTTCGGCTCAGGTCATGAGCTCAGGTTCCTGGGATCGAACCCTATGTTGGGTTCTCTGCTCATCTGGGAGTCTGCCTCTCCCTCTCACTCTTCCTCTGTGCTCTCCCCCATCTCTCTCAAATAAACAAAATCTTAAAAAAAAATAGCTGAATGGATAAGCAAATTGTGGTATATCCACACAATGGAATGCCATTCAGCAATAAAAAGGACAAACTATCAATTTACATAACCACATGGATGAATCTTAAATGCGTATTATTAAATGAAAGAAACCAGTCTGAAAATGCTACCCACATTATGATTCCATTTATATAAGATTCCAGAAAAAGCAAAACTATAAAGACAGAAAACAGGTCAGTAGTTGCCAGAGGTTCAGGGAGAGAGGAACAGGGTAGAGTAAGTGAAGCATAGGAGATATTTTAGGGTGGTGAAACAATTCTGTATAATATCGTAATGGTGAGTATATGATGTTATGCATTTGTCAAAATCCACAGAACAGCATGAAGAGTGTGTACAAATTTTAAAATGTCAGTTAGGAGATTGGGGGTGCCAGGATGGAATCTAGACTGTGACAAAAGAATCTAACTGCTTTACAAACACATATATAACCTCACTGTAGGAAGTGGAGTAATAACAGGTGATCTAAGTAACTCTGAAAATGTATGGTAGCTGTTAAGACTAAAGACAAAAGAAAACTGTACACAGGCACTGTACTCTAGTTGATAAAGTTGTGTGTCATGGAAGAACAGGTTAACAATTCTGAAACCATTATACATATATATATATATACATATATATTGGGATTTAACAAATAAGTACATCTGTTTGATGGTGAAGTGGGGACCAGGTGTCTCACTGTTGGAGTGGAAAGTTACAGACAAGTGAATGGAAAAGGCTAGACTGATCCATATTATACTGGATTAGAGTTGAAAACATCAGTATGAACTCATTTAGCTTAATACAGATATAAATATAGATGCAGCAGAAATAATTATAGTTAGCTATGTACCCTATGTATACACAGGTTAATATACTTCCAAGTGGTCACCTGGGAGAGCATAGTAACAATGATGCCCCAGTAGTGGTGAGCAAACCCAGGGCCTAGATCTTGGTCTCTAATACCATTCTCCAATAAAAGGAACCAGGGCTCCTTGAGACACGGCTGATTCTAGGGCTGGAACAGAGAATACACAATATGAATCTAGCATATTTTTCACTGCCAGAAAGTAAGGAAGTACTTAAAAAACAAAATGGTGAGGTTGTATCAAAGGGACACAGAAAACAACTGAAAGAGCTCAATGGCTAACATACCGTTTTGAACAAATAATAAATAAATAATGTGGTACTGGATTTAAAACACCTCAAGTATGAAATAAATATCCATGAATCCACAGTAATATAAATGAAGGAAGGAATGAGTGATTAGAAAAGATAAATATCCTATGCAGAATAATTACAAATAATTTCTGTAGATACTGCACTCTCAATGAGATAAGGCGTAACTTCCCGCACCTCAAGAGGGGAGCTATTCACAGTGACTTCCTTCTAGAGTTCAGGATAGAGGCAGGGGGGTCAGAAAGAGTAACTTTAAAACTGAGAAATCTGACAAACCCTACTTCAGCCAGGTGAACAGGAAAACATCAACAGTGGTACGTCATGTTTATAGCAGGGAGGCCGGATATGTTGTCATGAGAACGGCACTGTACTTCTGTAGTCTTCCTCCCAAAACCCCATAACCCGAGTCTAATCATGAGAAAAACATCAGACAAACCCAAAGTGAGAAATACTCCACAAAACACCTGACCAGTACCCAAAAACACCTCAAAAACAACAAAAGTCTGAGAGACTGCCACAACAAAGAGGAGTCTAAGGAGATACAGCTACATGTAATGTGGTATCCTGGATGGGGTCCTGAAACGGAAAAAGGACATTAGGTAAAAACTAAGGAAATCTGAATACAGTACAGACTTGGTTAATAATAATGTATCAATATTTGTTCATGAACTGTGACAAATTTACCCTACTAATGTAAGATATTAATAGGGGAAACTGGGTGTGGGGTGTATAGGAAGCTTCTGTATCATCCTTGCAACTTTTCCATAAGTCTAAAATTATTCTCAAAGTTTATTTTTAAAACTTCAGTATTTTCTCGTTCTTTCTGCTCCTTAAAAAAGATCTTTTTGAATCTTACCTCATTGTTTAGAGATGAAATGGTAAATATAATAAAATATATCCATGTATCTTAATATTTAATTTGACCGAATTAGTTATGACTAAGCTAGAAACTGCTTAACCTCAGTAACTAAAACTTAACAGTTAGGAAAACCTTAAAATAGTTTACTAAGAGAGATCAAAAGATCAAGTAGGAGTAATTGGTAGGATAAGAGGTGTATTACAATTTATAAGTATTATGTAGTGTGAAAAGAGAAAAGCCCAATTATTCAAGTCAATTAAAAGAGAAACTATTCAGGCAGCATTGGTCAAATTAATAAAATATCACAAACAGGAAAAGTGTCACTGAGGCAGGAAAGTCAAAATCCTTTGTTCTAATCCAGATCTCCCATCCTCCAGTCTTCTCCACTCCAAAGACCTCCCTTGTTAACCTCAGCCATTCATTTCTTAGACTATATGGCGGCCTTGGGATTATCAGAAATGCTATCCCTCAAATGACCAATCCCTTTCTCATCACAACTCTTAGCACCCCATATTTCACTTTACCCAGTTCCACCTAAACGCATTCTTCAACCGCCCAACTCTCAAATCCCTCACTATCAGCCCCTAGACCTTGATTACTTCCTTTCCCACCTCCCTGAATTCGGTTAACTTCAGAACACATATCCGCACCCTCAGGTCTCTTGCCACTTCACCCAACCCACCCGCCCCGCCTGCCTCCAACCTCTTATCCCACCAGCTTTTCCAGGCACGTAGTAGACACTGCAGATGCGTGCTGTACTCTGCAACCAGGATGCCTAGGTTCAGAGCCTGCTTCTCTCACTGTTATTGACTTCTACATCTCGGTTTTATCTCTACAAAACTGGGGACGATGATAGGAACTCCCTTCTGCTATGAAGCTGTTATGACACATAGTAAGAAACTCCCCACTTTACTATTCAATAAATAATTATTAGTCACCAATTCTGAGATTAAGATAAATGGCAGGCACAACTATAAAATTTAAAGAGAGCTGGACTTCAGTTGAATTCTCAAATTTCCTTCACGGTCTTAATTACTTAACTCCACACTCCATAAAATTGCTTCCAACCTCTGTCTCACCATTCAAGTTACTTCCATTCCTCATTCTTTTCTATTTCTCAGTCCCTTCAGAGGAACTGGCCTCTTCTAACTACTGAGATAGTAGAGTCCATCAACCATGAATTCCTCAAACTCTGATCTCAAGGTCTCAAAACTTCTTTTCAGGCACCTTTACCTTTATACTCAGATAAAGAGGTTTCTCTTGCTCTCTCCAAGGCTAATTGCTTCCCTGCCCATGCTCAGGACCCCACTCCACCTTCTGGGACTTTATCCCCTTCCCCTTGCTCCATCCAGATGGATTCTTTCATCTCTCTCACCAACATACTCAATTCTTCCTAATCCAAAAATCTCTCCTCTGCTTGTCTTCCCTATCACACTTTTTGAAAGAGAAGTCAACAGTATATTCACAGACATTCTTGCTATACTTCACAATCCAGTACAATATGATTACATTCCCCTACAAAAGAAACCGGTCACCAGTGGCTTCCCTATAC